CCTGCCCTCGAGTGGTGCTCCTTCCAGGTGTTGACCCTCTAGTAGACCCCCCCCCGGCCCCCCGCGGCGGCCCCCCCCCCCCCCCCCCCCCCCCCCCCCAACGCCTCTCCCGCCGTCCCCTTCCTCCTGTCTGTCCCTGGCCCTCCCCATGGACGGCGGGACTGGCTCCCGTCCGGTGCTGTGACGCCGCCTTCCCCCCGGCCCCCCAGGACCCCACCAATGGCTACTACAGCGTCAACACCTTCAAGGAGCACCACTCGACCCCCGCCATCTCGCTGTCCGGCTGCCAGCCGGACCTGCGCCCCGCGGGCAAGCAGCGAGTGCCCACGGGCATGTCCTTCACCAACATCTACAGCACGCTGAGCGGCCAGGGCCGCCTCTACGACTACGGGCAGAGGTTCGTGCTGGGCACGGGCAGCTCATCCATCGAGCTCTGCGAGCGGGAGTTCCAGCGGGGCTCGCTCAGCGACAGCAGCTCCTTCCTGGACACGCAGTGTGACAGCAGCGTCAGCAGCAGCGGCAAGCAGGACGGCTACGTGCAGTTCGATAAGGCGAGCAAGGCCTCGGCCTCCTCCTCCCACCATTCCCAGTCCTCTTCCCAGAACTCCGACCCCAGCCGGCCCCTGCAGCGGCGGATGCAGACTCACGTCTGAGGATCCCGGGCCGGGGAGGGCGGGGCCTCGGCCTGGCTCTGCAGAGACTTTGCAGAGGACCCCGGAAGCAGCCCCGATCAAGCACAAATGCGGGCCCAGCTGCAGGGCATCGGGGCGTGGAGGTGGGGACGTGGTCAGAGGATGCCGCTGAGCGCTGTGTGCTCCGTGCTGGCCGCCCCGGGCCCCCGGCCCTTTCCTGGCGGCCCCTCCTCTACCTGCCCCTCCCACAGGCTCCAGAGGCAGCTATAACTCTGCTTTCATGAAACTGCCGTCCATGCTCCGTCCACGCTTCGGAGGAGCTCTGCCCCTTGCCGCCCTCAAGCCCTCCCCCGAGTCCCACCGTGCCTGTGCTCCTGTACGGCCCCGGGGAGCAGGGCGTCAAGTGCTTGCCGGCACGGAGCTGCCCCAGAGACCTCAGCGCCCCCTGCCCCTCCTGGTCCAGACTTCAGAGGCTGAGAAGCCAGAACGGCCCTGGCTGACACACTGGCCCGGAGCCCACCCCCAGTTTGTTCGGTGTTTTGTGTCCATACTCGTACAGTTCTGTCCTTGGACTGGATGCCTCTCAACTCTGAGGTGGGACTGGCCCAATCAGAGACTGGTGTCTGGGAGGGAGGGGGAGGGAAGGAGGGGGGAACGTGACACTCGGGGACCCCTCGCCAGGCTGTGCGACTCAGAGCCTCCCCACGCGCCCCTGCTTCGTGTACTCCCCTCCTCCCCTCTGCACATTCGGAGTCAATATAAGGAGTGTGAGCTTCTCTGGTCAGGGTTCTTTAAACAGCCGTTGGAGAGACTGTGTCCCAGGATCTGTGGGGTTTGAGGGGACTAGCGGGCAGGCCTTTAAGGTGATGAGACTCACCTTCTCAGCTGAGCCTAGATTCACACAAGGAACCATGGTCCTGTCCTCAGTAAGGCTCCTGGGGCAAGAGAGAAAGCATATCTGCACCTCACTCCTGCCTGCCACCTGAGAATAAAGGTTAGGGGTCCTTCCTCCAACAGATGCGTTCTACTCTTTTGTTCCTGCAGAGTCACAGCAAGACCCCAAGAGCTCAGAGGATGCTTTGGGAACGCAGGGTTCCTTGCCCTGCTTTGATTTGGTTTTCCCAGACAATGGAGAGCTCTGGTCATGGTGACAATAGGACCTATGGGCAGACTCCTCTCCTTGCAGATGTGCCCAACCCAGAGGGCGCACGAAACCGGGCCTCACCAACCACCTGACTCATGCCAAATACAGCTCAGGGGCAAAGGGGTCAGACTGCACATTGGAGGGGTCCTTCTAGGCCTTTCTCTCAGCAATATTCTGCAAGGGCGGCTCCCTCCGTTGGGGGTTCATGGGAGGAGGCCCTCTTCAAAGAGCCTGTGCCACCAAGCAGCCCAACGCTCTGAGACTCAAATGATGTTCTAAGAATGGCTTTGTTTGGGTGGAAATCTTGACGTGGTGATGGCAGACAGGCTGGGGTGGATAAACAGGGCCAAGTTAGGATGCTACCTCTGCAAGTAGGATTCAAATAGAACTCTGGAGAACCCACACTGTCCCAAAGGTTGGAGGTTCCTCCTCAGATTTAGACCCTTCTCCTCCAACCTTCCCTGGGAGTCCTTACCCACCATGGGAACCTTCATCACAAAAGCCTGTGCTTCTTTCCTCCACTGATGCCTTGGATGGCCCCAACCCACAGATGGTATACATAGCCTTCCTAGAGCCTCCACCCAGAGGATGTTTCTGCTTCCACCATATTTCCTATTGCTTCAAAACCCTCCACCTCCTTGGATATCTTCCTTTGCAGCACCCAAGCCTGAGGTAGTAGAAACTGATGAGAAATGTAAGTGTACATCCCAGCCCCACATCCTGCTCCTGGTACCATTTCTGGCCCAGCACAGATGCCTGTGGGCTCCAGGTTAATCTTGACAAGTTCTCTTCCTTCCCATACACGTTTTGCCTTTGCCAGCAAGGAGTAAGGATCTAAGATCAGACGCAAAATGCCTTGGTGTGCTAGAATAAGGAAGAGGATGACCTAAGAGGATCTGTCCATTCATTTCTCCTAGCCTTCCCCACCTTGGAGGTGGGCAGGACATCTCCTTCCTAAGCCTCACCACAGCCTACCTTGTCCCTCACCCCCTGCCCACATCCTCCCCCCCCTCACACACAGCACTTATAATAGGATGGAGGTACCCATTCTTTCTTGGAACCCAAGGTTATGGCACAGAATAACCTGGAGAACAGGGAAGAAATCTGATCTCCTGGAGAACAGAACCCTCTTCTCCCTTGGGAGCCTCAGACACTCCCAGGGTGGGAACGTGGACATCACGGAAGATGGGGCTGCACAGTCAAGACTCGGCTACACGGGGCCCACTCCCTGAGCTCTCTCCGAGGCACAAACACAGCAAAGAATTGCCGAAAGGGTAGGAGATCACAAGTAAGGCCCTGGTGAAAGAGATGAACATAGGCAGGGGAAATCAGTAGGCTCTGGTGGCCTCTGGACCGTTGAGGCACTGAGAAGGATGCTGGACTGAGTGTGAATCCTTCAACCCCTCTGAGTCCATTTACTTCTCACGTAGGAGTGAGGGGACAAGAAAGCTGGTAAAGGGAAGTGTTAAAAAAAAAAATTAAGGCAGTGGGAAGCCCTGAATTTCCCTGTAGGTGATTTCAAATTAACTGAAATGAGTGCTTCACGTTTGTAATCATTTAATTCTCACAATTCTACCAAGTATTACCATTTTACAGACGAGGGAGTGAACTTAAAGAAGACCGGCCCAAGGTCACAGAGCTAACAAGTGACAGCAAGAGATGTAAACATATGATTTCCTCTGTGAAATGTTTCCATCCTACAGTGCAAACCCAAGGCCACTTTCATCCTAGAATAAGATGAAAACGGCCGACGCTGAAGGCCATGAGCTGGGACCCACTCGGGGGCAGGCTGAGCAAGGACAGGCCACAGCTCCAGTAGGAAAACAGGACTAGCATCCTCCACCGCCAGTCCCCAAATGACCTGGAAAGACCACGACTCCCTGGGAAAGCTCATCTGTGTATCAAATCCCCCCCACCCCTCCCAAGGCCGGGATCCAGTTTTCTGATAGCTTTACAATTCGTTACTGGCTCCGAGTCACTGGATGGGGGCCCAGTTTCTGACTCTCATGCTCACCGTCAGTCTGGGAAGGCCAGGGTTATTTCCATCACGTCTTCAACTTTCATGGAACAGGAAATGGTGTCATACAAAGCACTAGAGCACCACAGCAAATCCATCTCGGATGGAGACTACTGAAACAGTGCTCTAAAGGAATAGGCCTTGAAGCTGCCTTTGAGCTTCCGGAGTAGAGAGGAACAGGGGGAAATAACAGCAAATGTGAAGCAGCCCTTGGGAGATTTCTCAGAACAGCAGAAAAGAGCCAACAGGAATTCCGCTTCTCGCTTCCTATATGGTGGCGGCATACACGAGGCACCGTGGCCTTTGCTATTACGGGATCAGAACTGAAATCGCCAGGTACACACTCCAGGAGTCCCATCAGCCCTTCCCAGGTATTGTACTCTGTTTATGATGGCGCCAGAAAAAAAAGACGAGGGGGAGTCCTGTGATTAGTCTCTTCTCTAGTAAGTTTCCCTATAAAATCAACTCTTTATTAAAATAAAGGTATAAATATTTAAATAAAAACTATCCTAATTTGCATAGAGAATTTTATCTAAAATACCACTTGGGGTGCCTGCTTTAAAGAAACATGAATGTTTAGACATAAACTGATGACATCTCAACTAAATCTTGACGTTTACTTTCCCTTTAAAAAAGCCTTTTAGAAGCCTCTTATGGAAGCTGTTTTTAGGAGCTGTAACCACAGGCCAGCTTCAGCATCGAAACTACAAGCGATCTCTGAGAGTCACTGATACAACATTCCCTTGCTCTGACAGTTACTTCTTACACCCAGTAAGGCTCTAATCATCTTTTCCCCAACCCGCTATGTTTCCACCTTCCTAACTCGGTCATAAACTGGGAAAAAACAAATAAGGATTTGTTTTCCTGGATGAATCCATTTGTGTTTTAGGGAGAGGACCACCCACTCTTTCCCTCTCTAACTGCTGTTCTTCCTGGATCTGTCTCCTCCTTCTCTTTATCGGCAAAGTCTTGGACATACACCGAAAGCTTTTGGACCACAGGCCCTGTGGTTTCATGCCTACCCCAGCCCTCATCTTTAAAAGGCCTTCTGTGAACACATGCCATTCACAGGATCCATTGTTGAGTTTTGGTCTACATCCCAGGTGCCCATATCTGCCTGCCATTCCATGTTCCCAGAGCTCCTCTCTGGACCAGCCTGCTCGGCCCACCCACAGGGCCGGAACAGCCGCAGACCTTGGGCCAAAAGCCTCCCTTGAGCTCACTGATCAGGGAGCCCCGGTCACACAAAGGAATCTCCTTCCACTGCTTCTCAATCTATGACCCTTGGAAATATCTTGGAATGCTACGAGAACATTCATATAATGCTCCTTAATAGCTGTCTTCTTTGTGGTGAATCTAAAGTATTCATGTTCAAAGACAAGGTATGTGAAGTCTCAGGAAACAGGTCTTCTCAGGGAGAAGTGGGGTCTTATTAAATAGACCTTCTCTGAAATCTACTCCCCATTATGCAAGAGGAAAAGTGCTACTCAGGATAGGAGCTGAATATAGGGATTCATTCCCCCTGAATGGATTCATCTCCCCTCAACTAGGCAAAGAAAAGTTCAAGGGGACTGAGCTCAAGATACCACCTTCACCACCTTTGTAAAGAAATTAAAGGGCCACAGCCTTGCTGCCCAAGGACTAGAAAACAAATTCATGACACTAATGGGAGAAATACGGAATGAAGAAGGCATTAGAGATAAAGTGGTACAGGTAAGGATTCAGGACTTCTACAGCAGAATTTTCAGATGAGAATTTCCTGAGTTTTATTTAAAAGTTTCCCTAGCTCTCTTGCCATGGAGGGCTGCAAGTGGAACAGAAATCTACAGAGAAAAAGAGCAGAACTGGAGAGAATCTCCCTACCGGACTTGCCCTCTTGTGATATTTTTCCTCAGGAGAGAAACACATTTTTAAGCAAGTGAAGACACTCCTTAAGTGTTAAAGTTGGTGATGTACATAAGTAGTGTTTTAGGAAACCTCAGAATAACAGACGGTTCTGGAACAGCTTAGTTCAGTAATTCCAACTTCGATTCCCCTGGGGTGATTTCTCTCATTCACTCTGCCAGCTCCACCCTCCCAGTCTTGCAAGATTCTCCAGAGGAAACAGCGCCTCTGTTGAGGGGTGCAGTACTTTCAATTGGTCTTCCCCGGGAACCTGAAATCTGGCTCCCAAAGTTTAGTTTTCCCTAAAACCTTTTGTCAGATCCTCTGTGCTGACCCTCCTAGACAGGACTGTGGTCTTCCCAACCTGCTCCCAGCAATCCCTTTACTTTAAGAGGTGGAGCCCTCCAATACATTTGGGCTCTCCCCAAATCTGACATTTAATGAGACCCAAGGTTCATCTCCCCGCTTCATTTCCCGGGTGCAGGATCTCCACAAACTCTAACAAGAGAGGGAAGGTCCCTGAGGAAGAACTGGACAGGAAAACAGGCTATAACTACTGACATACACACACATAGATCCCTCCTCAAACTTTTAAGTTGGAAAGATTTCCTGGAACCACGTCTGGTACAAAACCATGGAAATGCTCAAAACTAACAACAAATAGTTTTCTGAAGCTATAATTAAGACATCAAAACGGTCAGATGGTTTAGCGGAGAGCTTACCAACCCTGAAGATGTACTTCTCAACTTTAGTTTAGGAACGAACCTACCCTGGTATGCTGCATGCCATGGAAACGGGATAATGCCACCCAAGAAATCCCTTTCTCCAAAAACCCCTAAGAGCATCTGACTTCAACTTGAAAGCCACTGCCAGAGGGCAGTTTGAACTCACAGTTCTTTGTTGGATTCTGCAAAGCCTGCATTTGAGTCCTCTCACCAATGTCTTAACCTTCCTCTCCTTAGCTTGTGGGTGACTTGAAGACAAAGACTTTTCTGTAATTAGCCATACCTGGGCGTACGTTTGGCCCTTCAGATGGGCCTCAGTTGTTCCATATGCTTTCCGGTATTTTCCATTATGCAAGGTAGCTTTCCAATCTAATGTTTATGTCATACTTTACAGTCTACACAATGTTCTTCCAGACATATTCCCACTAGATCCTTAAAGCTTCATTGTGAGACAGGCATGCGTAATCACTAGTTTACAGATTACGTGGCAGAGCACGGTTGTGTATGCGCTTACACCTAACTGCCTCACAGACAGAACTGCTTCCGAGTTCAAACTTTTCGCAGGCTGGCCAGTCTCTGGGGTAAGGCAGTTGGATGTATCCATGTCCTCGGAAAGTGTAAATAAAACCCGAAGTGTTCAAAATTAAGACACGCCACTTGATGTGAATATAGAATATCATTTCAATGTGTTCCTGGGCTAGATAAAGACCTAAACTCTGTCTTGCCCAGCTAGGTGGTCGCGCTGGGAGTCCCGCGTCTTCTCCAGGCCTCTGTGGAGGAGAGAGATGGACCTCACAGTCTACACTGCACGGAGCAGAGATCCTCCGCTCCCTCCCAGTCCTAGTCTGTTTCACCCCCGCCCCTGCGGTGAAGTCAACGTAAGTCACGTGACCGTGGCCGAGCGGGAGCTCAGAGGAGCCCAGGGAGACACCCGCTGGGAAAACCGCGTTTCCGCTGCAAACCGGGCAGACGGGCGAGGCCTCAGCGGCCGTTGCCAGGCCCGAAACCGGTTGCCAGGGAGGCGCCGGCCTCTCAGCGCGCCGAGAGGTTCCCGGACGCTCCGCGCTGGAGCGCCGCTCTGAAGGGGTCAATCCCGCGCCCGCGCGGATGACGCATGCGCGCCCGCCTCCGCCCCCGCCCGCCGAAGAAAACCGCGCGTGCGCCTAATTAACGCAGCTCAAGGGCTTCGGGGATTAGGCTGGGCTGTACACGCAGACCGTTGAGTTGGAAGAGGTTCGTGAGATCATCCTGTAGTCTAGACGACCGAAGCAGTGGTTGCGGGTGCTTGTTCGAATTCCAGATTCCTGGGCCGTACCCGCAGCGGCCTGGGTAAGACCCGAGAATCTCCATTCTTAGATTATGCCCAGATAATTCCGGCAGAGGTGGTCC